TTGAGTGAATACTACAAATCTCCCCTACTACCTCGAAGATCGCTCAAAACACAGCGGTGAGCAACGAAGCAAAGATATTGATTAGCTCAAAATCATTATAAGGGCTGGTGATTATCACCGACCCTATACCCTACTGCCTCGAAGATCACTCAACACATAGTGGTGAGCAACAAAGCCAACAAAATTGGTTAGCTCAAAATCACTCTAAGGGCTGGTGATTATGACCAGACCCTATACCCTACTGCCTCGAAGGTCGCTCAACACATAGCGATGAGCAACGAAGCCAAAAAATTGGTTAGCTTAAAATCGTTCTAAGGGCTGGTGATTATCACCAGACCTTATACTATACTGCCCGAAGATCGCTCAATACACAGCGGTGTGCAACAAAGCCATGAAATTGGTTAGCTCAAAATCGCTTTAAGGGCTGATGGTGAGTTTTCAAAACCAAAAATAGTTAAATCTCAAAATCACCGGACCCTGCATTCAACAACCCAAGATCGTTTGACATACAGCGGAGAGCAACAAAGATAAAAAGGATCAGTTAGCTCGAAATCACTCTAAAGTTTGAGAAAGAACCTTAAAAACCAAAACTTGGTTAAGGTCTGAAATCATGCTTCTCATTCGACATAGCCCAAGGGGTTAGGCGGAAAGCAACGAAATCGATAGATTTGTAACAAGCGCAACTGAGTTCTATAGTTGAGGTAAGAGGCTTTCAAATCTATGAAGTGGTTGAGCCCCCAAACCATTAGACATTGTGTCCTGCTGTTCGACAAATGATAGTAATACCAATAAAACTAATCAAAGATCAGCAAATGAAATGGGAAAGGTAAAATTACAACCGAGCTGGCGCTAACCTACGCGGGTCAACAGTGTGGTATTCAATTTACGCTTGTAAAACCAGCGCCCACCAACTGGTTGTCATGCCGCTAGCTATTACGATAAAATAGGAAGAGTCGTACAAGGATGAGCAAATAAACTCTCACACATCAGCAAGCGACACCAATACTACAAGATAGATATAAAGGAAAAAAGAATATTTTGGCCTAGGGGCTCTATAAACATAGTGGTCCACATGCTCATATTTTCTAAGTGACTTTTCCAATTTAGATGGGGAATTATAAAGACTATAGCACTTTGGAATCTCAAAAACTACTAATTTACCCGTCGAATCCCGATCGATTTCAAGATTTTAGTTCAAAGATTTGGTTGAGCCAATATTTTTTTTTGGAGACTCGGTTGAAAAGTGTGAGGTTTAGCCAAATGTGTCAAAATATCGGGCTCATGGAGAGGAGACTCGACGGAGCTGGTCGAAGGACGGCCAGCCTCGCAATCAACCATGAGGCTGGTCGAAGATCGACCAATAACGTAGTCGATGGTTGACCAACAACGATCGACAATCGACCGGCAATGTTGGTCGATCGAAGTCGACCAGCCCTTGTTGGTTGGTTGGGAAACTTCAACCGGCCCATCTAGAATAGGTCGGTTGATTGACTTGTCCCCCCGTTCATGCCTTCACATAGGTTGTCGACCCCCATGAGGCCGCCTACCACCATGAGGCCCTTTACGTTCAAATAAGACGTCTACCACTATGAGGTCGCCTACCGCTATAAGGCCCTCTACATTCACATAAGTCGTCTACCACTATGAAGCCGTCTACCACTATGAGGCCCTCTATGTTTACATAGGCCGTCTACCACCATGAGGCCGCCACCAACCACCATGAGGCCGTCGACCCCCATGAGGCTGCCTACCACCATGAGACCTTCTACGTTCACATAAGTCATCGACCACTATAAGGCCGCCTACTACCATAAGGTCGTCGACCCACATGAGACATTCTACTTTCACATAGGCTGTCTACCACTATGAGGCTCTCTACATTCACATAGGTCGTCGACCCCCATGAGGCCAACGCTACACTTAACCATACAAATGGCAATGAGTTGGACGAAAACCGCTCAATGGTAAACGTAGGCACAACCAACCGCTTGAGGAGTGGAGGTCATCCCATCATAACTTGGGAGAAGTTGGAAGATTTACGTGAGACACGTGGCACCATTAACTGCTGAATAAGTGCAGTACATCAGGTGCCTATAAATACCAATAAGGTGAGAAATGTATAGCTCTCTTGAAACCCGAACTGTCTGAATTACAATTATACTATCTTCCTACTTTCCTAAACCAACTACTGATTCTCACGCCGGAGGTACAAAGGGGGAGAAAGCCCCGACCTCATTTTGCAGGTAGCATTCACTGATCGGAGCAGCCGGAACACCCTATACGTCAAGGAGAATGCGGAGGTTTATCTCGCTACAATTTCATCCAGTTTTCTGTCTGCCAATATTTTTGAGATTTTATCCAAAATCTTGGTAATTGTGTTCAGATAGAATTTTAGTTCGTCCTAGTAGAGACTAAATTGCTTAGATTCTACTGATTTCTTCATTAAATCCCGTTGAGACAAATGTTCGAACAAAACCTTAAGTACTAAAGGTGAGAGTGCGAATCAGTTTTAAGGGATAATGTGTAATAAACGTGCCTCGATTTGCAAATATGTTCCCTTTTGAGCGATTAATATATTTCTACAATTCTTCATTTTCTGTTTTATTCTTTCTTAATTACTATTACATTCTGTGACGTTGTTCTAACTGTAATTATAGAAACTCATTGTCACATTCTTTAGAACCTCTAGAGTTCTTTTTTCACGTGGATCTCTAAGAATGAGCTTGTTCTTATTTAGCTAGAACACCAGTCACTCCAGTCATTTCTCACATTCATCAGAACTCTATAGGCAATATGGTAGATAACTTTGTGGTGTTTTTCTCTTGTGAATATAGAAGAGAATTTAGGAAGCAAGATTTTCCGAAACCCAATTGACCTCCTCACCTTTTCATTTTCTTCAACACACAGAAAAAAGTCAGTTGTTGTAGTATATAAATTGTATTTCACATTTTTAGGTGGTTTGAGGGTGTTTCAAAGTTTGAATTGAGAGAAAGGTTTTCCTTTCCTAATCGATGCTTGAACGAATTTTGGACGACCATTGCGCAGTCATGCTCTAAGATTTGAGCTCGAGCACCTTTTGGGCGGCAATTAAGAGGGGACAAGCAGATTTATTTATATTTTAGTATTTCTCACGCCATACTACACCAACTAATAACACCCTTCGACACTACCTAAATTACAACCCGATTTATTGATTTTGGACACGGAACTTGCTAAGAGTTAGTTAGATTTAATAAAGATCAAACTTTACTTGATACAATCTATAAATTTTTTAGGGGTTTGTTTCGATGATTATCCTCCCTTTGCATAGGAGCTGATAATACTGCTAAGGGATAATAGCAACATCACAGATGGGTATAGGTTGGTTGAAGAGGACGAGAGTTTTGAGCATTGTATTGTGTACCCTTTAGTGACCATACATGTACTTAATCCGAATAACAATGACTTAGTTGGGGAATTACCTGTTATGTTGCCACCTATGTCAAATATTTTGCGTCACATTACCTCAAATGGTTGATACTATGTGAGCACGCTTTTGTTCGAGACAATAATTTACTTGCTTACTTTTTCTATTGATATCCAATTGTTGTATACTAATTACTGTCATATTATTTTAACTACATAATTTATTGTCAATTTTCCTAATTTTCATTTTGCGAACATGAAACTTATAGGCTTTCTTTTGATGCACCGTGTAGAATCAAATTCGAAAATGGTGAATTTAATATTTTATTGCATCTTTTGTAGCCCAATTTCCTAAACGCATTAAGAAAAAAGTTTTTTTGATCATTCACATAAAAATAATGTACTTGACTGACGATCACTCTTAAATAAAAGTTATGTTTTTAATATAGTAAAGTTATTTTATTATCGAGCACATTCGAGCTATCTCTGTTGCATTCATTTGTTTATGCAGATCATTGTACTGTGCCAGTCACTTATGCTCCTCATTATGAGCTGCCAATTGATTTTTTTTGTGGATAGATCGTGTCTTATGCTGCGTTTCGGAGTTTGTTATCCATTTTTGGTTCATAAAGAAGATCACCATCCTCAATATGAATTTAGCCACATGTTTCTGTCACGAATTTAGTGCCAAAACTTGGTCAAGACAAAAGATCGGCCTCTTTGAAGTACAAAGTTGCAATCTATCACGTTGGAGTCGAGTTCTTTCAGCTGGAGAGAAACGATGGTTTAATGCTATATTAGTTTATTCTAATTTATTATATTTTCTAGTTTGAATAAATTATGATTTATTTATTTTATTTCCTTCTCAAAAAGACTATATAAAGAGGGAATATTCATTGTAATACCCAAATTTTTGAATATTGAACAAGACATATTTTTCTCTCTAAACTCTCTTTTTCTCTTCCTTATCTCTCTTTCTTCTTCTTTTCTCAATCTCGTTATTTGTTTCATTATTGTTCCATGTAGGATGGTTTGCTTGCTGACTTGGTAAACGCTATTGTTTATCAATCATGCCACTTTATGTACAATTTGGATGACATTTGAATAGGTGACAAAATCGAGGTAATTGATTGTTTTAAGTGTTGGAGAAATCAATAGTAAAATTGTATGCCGTATGGTACAATGTAAAGTAAAATGTCAACTAGAATTTATATGTAGCAAGATTGATTGTTATTACTAGCATTGTTATGGGACTTATCCTATCTTATTATTTACTTTTTGTACTTTTGTAATCTTTTAAATTCCCATTCTGACTGGCCTAGGCTCATATAATTTCGACTCTTCCCAGAATTCCATGTTGGCTGCATTATCTTGGAATCAAACAGATTCTCAGCTGCTAGACGGTTTTCAGACAAAGCTAAATAGTTACCTCATAAACACCATATAATAACACCTCCACTCTTCGAGAAAATTGAAGCCAAGAGTGTTCGATCATTTCCATAAAACAGCTTATGATCATAAGTTGATCAATAGAAAACATTGATAGAAAATGTACTAGCAATTGTGTTGTACTGAAATACAGCGGGCAGGAAATAATGGCTTCTCAATTTGAAGGATTCAAAAAGAAAGACATGAATGCAACCAGAATCTCGCATACTGCCGAAACAAAGAAATATCAGAATCCCTGTTTTCCTCAGGCGTCGTTCGAAATTCTGAGCAAGTATCGGAGCCAATTCAAGCATTTGAATCCAGAAAAAAGACACGAGCCTAGGGTCCCTCAGACGACAAATGGGACCGTAACCCCTTCGAGTGATCCAGTTGTGTCTACTGAATGCATCATGAAATTAGCAAGGATGAGATTACGTGAAGATTGTTCCTCGTACTCTATCAATCCATTTCCCGAGATTTCAGAAGAGAATTCAAAGGATATGGAACTTGCATTCAATCTTCTTATGGCTGCTGAGAAATTCTCCATCCAACAATTTGATAGCGCGGAAAAATTGCTCGGACAGTGCGTTCCTTTTGCTTCACGTTGTGACAGTCCTCTTCGAAGAGTTGTTACCCATTTCGCTGAGGCTTTACGAGAAAGGATTGATCGAGAAAGGGGAAGAATCAATTTAGAGCGTAAAATAGTGGATTTAGAAGAATCCCTTATGATGTTTAAATCTGCCTCTCTATCATTTGAACAAAAACTTCCCCTTGGTCAAATCAGTCAATTTACTGGAATGCAAGCCATTTTGGATAGCATGGCATTAGCAAGAAATATTCACTTGATCGATTTTGGAATCAGAAGTGGATCTCATTGGATAATTCTAATGCAAGGTCTTGCTAGTCGAAAAGATAATCCGGTCGAGCTGCTGAAAATTACTGCTGTGGGAACTTCGAAACATAAGCTCGAAACAACAGGTAAATGGCTATCTTCTTTTGCAGAATCCTTGAATTTGCCCTTTTCATTCAGAACAGTGATATCAGAATTGAATGACCTTAAGGACTGTTTTTTCGAGGTGAAGGCCGAAGAAATGGTGGCAGTATATTTGTTCCTAAATCTGTGTGGTATATTAGCCTCGGCTGATCATTTAGAAAGTTTCATAGTATTTGTCAAAAAGCTCAATCCATGTGTAATCGCCATCGTCGAAATGGAGGTGAACACAAATACGCCAATTTTTATGGACCGGTTTTACGAGGCAATCTTTTTTGCTAGCGCAGTATTTGACTTACTCGATACCTGTCTAAAAGAGGATATCATGCATAGGAAGATGATCGAAGAAATATACTTGCGGCAGATGATTTTGAGTATGATTACAGAAGAGAGTGATGAGAGGATTCAGCGGTTCACGAAAATTGACTTCTGGAGGGAATTGTTTGCAAGGTTTGATCTTGTGGAAGCAGAGTTGAGTCAACTGTCCTTGGATCAAGCTAATTTGGTGCTCAAGACAAGTCCTTGTTGGAGTTCAGCTACTATAGACATGAATGGAAAATCCATGATTTTGGGTTGGAATGGAACCCCTATTTTGTCCCTTTCTGTTTGGAAGTTGAGTTAGAAACAGCAAAAAATGGAGCTGTTTCTTCTTAATAAATTTGGATCGACTAAATGAACTAATTCTTTTTTGAAACAACTTGATCCTTTGTAATTATCATCGGTAACTTCCAGGGTACATCGAGCGAAAGTAAAGGATTTATCTATGTGACTTTTCACCACCTATTGATGATGAAAAGGATATATCTATGTAAGAATATTTTTGGTATATTATTAATCAAGGAAAAATGCAATGCTGTTTTATCTCAATTGTCTTTTCATGTATGTCCCTCAATTAACAAGATTAGTTGAATTAATAAAATTGATTTTTGAGAGTTTTCTCAGTATTTGCCTAAATTTACTATATTTCTACGACGAGTGTTTCATGTTGTGTTTTTCTATTATTCATACATCCTCGCTACATCTATTCATGTTTCTGTTTTTAAGAATGATTTAATCATTCAAATAGAAGGATCCACATATAGATGTCTTAATATGTTAATTAAATGTCTCATTCACACATAATTTAAATAAATAAGTTTCTTCCCTCTCTTGTAGTTGGTTTAACATGCTAACAAAGTACAATCACCTATGATGAAATTGAGAAATAATTTCGGTCAAATTCCTATGACCGAAGTACAAACAAAATTATTTTTCAATTCAATTCTTGCTTGTGGTGCAGTCGGGTCGGATCCTGTTTCCCAAATAATCACCGTGTTGCGGCATTCCGGAATGCAATAAGTGTGATTGCCGCAAAGAATAAGTTGATTTTAATGTGTTAAAATATTGAGAAGTGCTAGCACTTCTCTTTTCATAATATTGTCGACATATTTTTTTAGCTAGAAAATGTTAAGAGAGAAAATTACACCAAACAAGGTG